CTATATTAGCCCCTGCTGGCAGTCTCTAGCTGCACCTAGTTTTTTTCTTTTCTTTTCTTACCTATTTCTTATAGCTGTTGTATTTGATTATTGGTATCATTAGCTGTACCAAAAATATTAAAGATGCATGCTGGGTTTGTTGACAACTGCCCACTTCTAGCAGACCTGGGCTACCATGGTATCTCCTCTACAGGGAGATGATCGGATAAAGCTTCAGAATTTTATAAAATAGCTATAAATTGCAGAGATGACTTTAAAGCTTGCTACCTGGTCTAATGCCTCTCAGTCACCAATAAATGAAAGTCTTCATAAAAGGGACCATGGGAAGAACTTTTCTCTAGCCACATTTATGTAATACTTAGATATGGAAATACAGGGTTTCTTATCCAACCCGTCCTAAAACTCCCATGATGAAAACCATTGATTTTCGGAAGGCTGAGGCAGGGGCATCGTTGTGAGTTTGAGAGCAACCTGGGCGCTACATAGTGAGCTCAAGGCCAGCCTGAACTGCATATCAAGACCCTGTCTCAAAAAGACAAAAAAAAAAAAACCATTGATTCATGGATACATATTTTTTGGTCTAGGATAAACATATCTGGCTGGCAGCTATTATGGGGCAACTCAGCCAACTAGTGCCCCTTTGTTGGGAACAACTACAACAACAACAAAACATACTTAAGATAAATTGGAGCAATGCCACCTGAAATATGGGATAGATTCCTACACAGAACTGAAATCACATTATTTGTGTTAAGAGATACTGACTTGTTTGCTACTGACTGGAAGTGAAGGGCTAAGGAGATGGCCAACCTCAAATAGTACCTGGTGGCTTTGTGTCATAAACCCATGGCCTTGCTGGGTGTGGTGGCACATGCCTATAATCCTAGCACTTGGGAGGCTGAGGCAGGAGGATTGCTGTGAGCTCAAGGCCTACCTGGGCTACAATGTGACCAAGGCCAGCCTGAGCCTCATAATGAAAACCTGTCTCAAAAAGGCACAAAACAAAACAAAACAAACCTATGGCCTTGGTTCCCTCCAGGGTAAATAGGAAGATGTACATTAGGGTACACATGGCAATCAGGGTGCTGGGTTAAAACTCTAGATCAACCAGCCAATCTTCGAATCTTGTGACATTGATGGATCAGATCAGTTTTTCACTGGTATGATCATTTGGTCTCCACCTTTATTTCACAAATAGGATTTGAGAATGTAATGAGACACATTAAATCTCTTATTAACTATTGCCAAAAGGCTCTAAATGACACTGCAGAGGATATTACATTACTAAATTCAAAAGTAAAAATGATGAGCCAAGTATGGTGGCACACACCTGTAATCCCAGTATTTGGGAGGCTGAGGCAGGAGGATCACTGAGGCAGGAGGATCACAGTTTGAGGCCATTCTAGGCTACATAATGAGTTCATAGGCCAGCCTGAACCTCATAGTAAGACCCTGTCTCAATCCCTCCCTAAGTATAAAATAATAAAAAAAGCCATTCTGCAATACCAAATGGCTTTACATATTCTAACACCAACATGAGGTGAAATTTGTGCAATTATAAAAACAAAATGTTGTGTACATTCCTGACAACTCTGCAAGTGTGTCTTCTGCATTACAAGATCTATGTTCACAGATCAGCACAATGTCAGACTCTGCCATTTTGTCCTCATTTTCTGGAACAACCTGATGGGAAAAAATTATTGTTATTATTTTTTGAGACAGGGTCTCACCATGCAGTGATCTGCTTAGCTGAGCCTCTTGAGTGCTGGATTACAGGTGTGCACCATCAGGCTGGGCAAAATTCTCATTTCTTTGGCTATGATGTTGTGCATTGAAATTCTTTTATGTTGCATTGTCCATTAAGGGGAGTTAATGTCTTGTATGCCCCTGCCCTCTCTTTCAGACTATCAGAGTGATGGTTTTACACACTGCAAATCCTGGTATTCTTTTTTTTTTTTTTTTTTTTTGGTACTAGGAATCAAACTCAGGACCTTGTGCCTGCCAGGCAGGTGTTGTGCTACTGAGCTATCTCCCCGGCCCCTGAGATCCCCTTCAGATCAGTCAGGACAGTACTTTTGGTCCCTGGCTAAGCAGGGTCAATGCCGCTCCTCAGTTATATAAAGTTGGATGGCTGGGACTTCCCTTAAGAAAAAGGGATCAAAGCCTGGGCAGGAGATGAGTTAGGATAGAAGAAGTAAAAGATAAGGGGAAAGGAGACAAGAAAATCATAATTAAAAATTTTACTTTTTGGGTTTTTTTGAGACAGGGTCTCACTATGTAGCTCAAGCTGGCCTTCAATTTGTGGTGATCCTCCTGCTTCAGCCTCCCAGGTGCTAGGACCATAAGCGTGTGACAACTTGCCCAGTCTAAAAGTTGTACTTTATAAGAAGGCTGCAATTTCCAGGACTTAGCTGAAGTCATCCAAGACACCCCCATGCCAACATTCCTTGGCTACGTTCACACCTCTTCCTGTGGGAGACCGAATGCTGCTCTCTCCTGAGAAACAAAGCCCTTGCAGACTCGAATACCTCAAAACTATCTGTGCATTGCTAATTGGAGGCCTCTGAGTTTCCTTCCCCTGTACACTGTGCCTTGACCCCCACCCACATCCCTGATTGATACCAATAAAATCCATGAGCTTCTGGATCCATGAGATCTTTTATTCCAGAGAGAACATTGGGTCATTCTGGAGCTCTTCAACTGCAGAATATTCTCTTTGTTTCCATGTGCTATATTGCCAGTTGGGTTAGACTGATACCCTCATCAGGGGTTTTGGTATTTTCCCTAGCAGACCCGATACTAAAAGGTCATAAATGGGCTGGGGATATAGCTCAGCAGCACAGCACCTGCCTAGCAAGCATGAGGATGTGAGTTCTATTCCTGGTACCAAAAAATAAGTAAATAAATAAAATAAAAGGCCATAAAGTGACTCAGTTAAAAGAGTCAACAAAAGATCAGTGAATCTAGAAAATGTTTAAATAATCAATTAAAAATAGGCCTGCAAATGAGCTGGTATCCTTTTGGGGGAGGGTGTGCAGGCCCTTTTCCCCTTAGCTTTTCTTTCTTTCTTTCTTTCTTTCTCTTTTTTTTGTCTTTTTGAGACAGGGTCTCACTATGAAGTTCAGGCTGGCCTTGAGCTCACTTTGTAGCCCAGGCTGGTCTCAAACTTGCAACGATCCTACTGCCTCAGCCTCCTGAGTGCTGAGATTACAGGCATGTGCCACCACACCTGGCTTCCCCTGGCTTTTCACCCCCGCCCTGAGAAAAGTATAAATGTATTTAGTTCCAAACTGTAATGCATCTCATTTCTCTGAGTACCTGCACTCACTTTCTTGAGTACTATATCCTTGCCGGATAAACCCTACTTGTCTCTCTTTGTGGCACATCCTGAAAATTCTTTTTCTACAATGGGAGTCAGCAAGCCTGATACAGCAGGGTGCTTTAAGTTTGAGAAACTGTCAGTCCAGCCCAGTGACAGTCCAAGCAGGAAGACATATGCTTCCCTGTAGTGGTTCCCTTTGGGCACATCGGTCAGCGGGAATAATGGCACAGTGGTAGGAGAGTTTGACTCTCAGAATGCCTGCCTTCCAGCTCTAACAGTGTCAGCCTCTAAGAGCAGGTGGAGCCTGCTGTTACCCACACTGACACCCCTATTTACAAAGGTTGTAACTGTCTCTTAAGAATGTTATCTGGCCAAAGGCATCAGCTCAATTTCCAGTTTTTGCAAAATGTGGAGGTGATTATTTTCTTTGCATGCAGTATTTTCCTCAAGAATACACACCTCTTGGGCTGGGGATGTAGCTCAGGGGTACAAGCACCTGCCTGGCAAGTGCAAGGTCCCGAGTTCGATTCCCGGTACCAAAAAACAAAAATATACATACCTCTTACAAGAAAATGAGAATATAGCCTGGGGAAGGGACTCTTGCCTTTCGTTTCCCAAAGCCGCCTCAACAAAGTCTGATATGCTGCCCTGGTATTAGCCATGGGCAATGACTCAGTTGATAGGCCCCCGGCTGACACATGGAAGCAGAGTTCAGTCCCTTAGGTTCTTGCCAAGGCAGCTTACGGGGAGACCACACCAGGTGCTGGGGCTCATGTGCATAAAAATATCACTAACACTTTCCTCTGACTTTTGTTGTGTGTGTGTGTGTGTGTGTGTGTGTGTGTGTGTGTGTAGCTCACTTGTTCTCGATTGGCCTGTGCCACTCCTTGTCTGCTGCCCAGTGCCCAAGACTTTGCCTTTCCGATGACAGGGACACAAGAAACACAGGACAGCTGCCAACAACTACCATGCTTAGGAGGTGACTGGTGATTAGAACATTTAAAAACTCTAAGGGCCGGGGATGTAGCACAGCGGCATAAGCGCTTGCCTGGCAAGCCTGAGTCATGAGTTCGATTCCCAGTACCAAAAAAAAGAAAAGAAAAAGAAAAAATCTGTACCATGGGTTTAACGGTCGGGTCTCCGCGTTTTGCCGGAAGTTCCTGAAGATGTGAGGGAGGCACACTTTCGGCCCCCTCAAGCCGGTGCCTCGAGGCATCAGGCAGATGCTCGACGTCAGCGCGCCATCAGTCCGCGGGGCAGCGCTCCTCCACAGGTACCTGGGAGCCGGGCGTTTGCACGTCTCCCGGTCCCTTGGGATTCTGTGCTTTGGTATCAACTCTCCAGGGCGTTATACAAGAGGGATTTAGCTCCTTTGGCAGGGTAGTGGTGGTGCTGCATGTTTGGTTTTTCACTCGGCCCTTTATGTGGCCGCTCGTCTATACTGCGCGTGGGTCGCCGTCCACTCGCGGACCTGCACATGTTCCCACGGCCTGTATTCGTCCGCCTAGCCACGCCACTCCCTCATCCGTGGCCCCGAGTTCACCTGACACCCCAAAAGAAGCAGAAAACACCTACTGAGGACTCGCGCAGTAGCAGTACGCGGCACGGAGCACGCTTTTATAGCAGCCGGAGGGGGCCGGGTCTGCCGGCGACGTGACGCGATGACGTCAGGCGCACGGAGGTGGGGCTGGTGGCGGCGTTGCTCTTTTGGTCCCTCAGGTCTAGGTCTTCCATCCTTTGCTCTGCCGCTGGCCCAGCTCCCACGGCCCGGCGTCCGCCGCTTGGCCCTGCGCCCTCCTTTCGGGGCCGTGCCCGGCCATGGGCCCG